GGGCCGCGAGGGGCCGCGAACGGCTGCTGAGGGGCCGCGAGGGGCCGTGAGAGGGGCCGCTAGGGGCCGTGAGAGGGGCCGCGAGGGAGCGGCTAAGGGGCCGCGAGGGGCCGTGATAGAGGGGCCGCGAGGGGCCGTGAGTGGGGCCGCGAGGGAGCGGCTAAGGGGCCGCGAGGGGCCGTAATAGAGGGGCCGCGAGGGGCCGTGAGTGGGGCCACTAGGGAGCGGCTAAGGGGCCGCGAGGGGCCGTGAGAGGGGCCACTAGGGAGCGGCTAAGGGGCCACTAAGGGCAGGGGACGCGGGGCGGGACTCGGGCAGGGGTGAAGCGCGCTCCGGGCAGGAAAAAAAATTCGAATTTCGGTGGGCCCTAGGAAACGTTCCCACTAGGGAACCTGCTCTATACCATGTGAAAGAACAAGGAGTGAATGCACTAGGAAAGATGGTGGGTACAAGTAGGAAAACCTAAAAGTGTTGTACCCCATATTGTCTACCCCACTACAGCCTACACAGATTATAGCATATAAGTTTGACAAAAAGCCCCCCCCAAGTTACCCACAGCTTACCCCCTGGGGGGATACCCCGGGGTCCTTGTCTAGGTAAGCCGCGGGTGACCTCTGCAGCTTTCACTTCGCGTGGTGACCCCAAGGTTACCCACGGGTGGTGACCCACAGGAAACCCCCCCCAGCAGTTCGGAACGAATCACACGCGAGCCGCGTCCTCGCTGTGAAATGCGTTGCCAACATCACAACATTTTGCCGACAGTACACTTACCAGCACTATAGAAAAGTTTAGCAACATCTTGTACAACATTTTAAAATTACGTTCCGTTATAGCCACGTTCAAAATGGATATTAACCAATTCCCTTTCAGCTTTATATGATTTCACAATCAAGCATATCAAAATACATTACAGTTTACTGTAGAAATTGTAACTTGAGGACCATTAGTAGTTAGTTCCATTAATCATTCATCTGCATAACAAACAACATTGCATGCAATAAAATAATATATTGAACACTTGCTAACATGCAGATAGACGTTTGTGTAGACACGGAATATTAGAGTACCAAAAAGCAGCTTCAGAGGGCTTCGCTTATAGTGAAGGCACAATCTATTTCCTGTCACAAATGAAACAAATAGTGGAACGGAATGGGCCGTTAGTCATGCCACAGCTGTGAACTATGCGAAATCTGCTTACCAGAAAAGAAGTCTTACCCGGTAGGACGCAGCAATAGTAACTTATTGGTTATCCAGTGACTGCAAGAACACGGCGCAAAGGCAATGGATTGCAATGAAAGAAAACTATGACATGGCGAAAGCAACAGGAAACCAGGTTGTCGAGAAAGCCAAAACAGAGGCAATGAAAAGCACATAAAACGCGACGCCGTGAAGCAAACGGAATGTGCGGCGCTCATCATGCAACCACATCGTCGAGCATTTAGAGAAGATCACAAGCGGGTAGCCTACCTCGTGAGCACTATCTGGAGCCCCGGTGCTGCAACGATTCTCACGTCATTACGCGATGTCTGCGAAGGAGCTTGCATCGCTCCCGGATTCGATAATCTGCCATAAAGAACCGATCACGAAATAACCCAAGTAAACGCATGCCATAAAAACCGTGGCAACAGTGAAAAAAAGAAAAGGAACTTAATCCCTAAACGTGCATAAGAGGCTTCAGGAAACTGGGCTTAGCGACGATTGCGGAGGAGCTGTTCCCGTGAAGGAGCTGTTCTCGTAGTAGCTGTCCTATGTGGGTTTCACGTGTTGAAAACGAAGTAAAAATGACGAGTTGTGTGAAGAGGAGGGTCGATAAGTAGTCTGAAGGTGCTAGAAGAGGAGATGCAGTAGAAGCTGATGTGGAAGAGCTCCGATTGGTTCGTGAGTTGAAATGTGCCACGTAACTCAACCCATCACTGTAATGCAGCATATTGAGCGATGCGATAGAAAGCACAAAATCAAACAGAAAACCGTAGTTATAGATATTGCCAACAGGTCGAGTGAAGAAGTGTACAACTTTCTGGAGTTGCCGTACGTGGCTGCCTCGGCAAGCAAAGTGAAGCGAGGTTTTGATTGGTGCTGATTCGTCCTCAGAAGCTGTGGAGTACCCTCGGGGTAACCCAACGAACTGACCAGCCTCCTGATTGGTCGATTGTTCACTTACGAAGGTGCGCGACGAGCTCCCTTCGAGTTGCTGACGTGTAATTGCTCAGGGGTATTCTCGGGGGCACTTGCTGGGAAGTTGTGGGTAACCCCGCGAGGGTGACCCTGGGGTCTCCCGCGATTTCAGAGTGATTGCTGCGTGTGGAATTTTGGGATGTAACACGATGGTGCCTGTGTTTCTCCATCAATGGCGATTCGGGGTTCCTTCCAGGTTCCAAAAGTGGTCCGCACCGAATATACACTCGCATATGTAGATTCGGGAGGCTATGTAAGTGTCGCTAGTTTCTACCATGTCTTCACTAGCTGTTGGTTTTGGCGTCCTGATGGCCGATGACGTGGTTGCCTCAGGTGACTCTGATGACACGGTCGGGTGACACGAGGTCGGATCTTCAGCTTCCCGCTGATGAGGTTCTCGCCTCGCAGGTGCGATATCCTCGAGAAGGCCCTTCTCTTTTGCACCATGTGTTTATGCTGGCGTAACTTCATCTCTGAATGTTCGTGCAGATCAAGGACGGCCTTGCAGGAGGCAAGGAGCTTGTGGTGGTTGTAATGAGCGCAATGGAGGAGGAGCAGATTTGTGCCCTCAAGGAACAGTGAAGATGGCTTACAGTTGCAGCATATTATTTTCTGTCCAAAATAGTGCATGGAAAATAGGTTCTGAACGTACTCTCCAGATTATAAATGCCAAACGTGGGTCAAATCTATGTATATTGATGGACAGAGAGTTCTAGCACTCCTGAAATTATTCATCACCTCCACCGCCCCACGGTTGCATGAATGGTTACCTATTCAAGTAGCTGAAACCTTGCTTCACTATGCCCTTCCACTCGCTACAACTTGTATTGGCTGTGATGTCATGTCACACATGGCCATCAGCTGTGGTGACCAGCCGTGACTAGAGCTTATATGTACATTCTTGGAATGACACGTGTGCCAAGCCATCAAGACTTGGGTGCCCAGGTTACCCAGTCCAGTAAGGCTGATCAGGCTAGCACGGCAGCGCGGGCATTTCAAGCAGGCTGTGGAATCTCTTGCGGTAACTGCGCAGGTTGCTGCATGCACGCCAGGGAAAGCAGGCAGAGGGCAGCGAAATGGCAGGGTGGGCCAAAGACGAGTGAGTGCAGGCATGTGCGTCTGCGAGCTAGCGAATAAACGGATGAAAGCAAGCAGGCGAGGAGTGAGGGACGAGAGCGCTGAGCTCGAGTAGTGAGGGATGAGAGTGCGAGCACGAGGAGGAACTCAACACAACCTCCCCCCCCTCTCCCACTCATCTTACGCCCTCTCCTTGTCTCGCTTCTTCTCTTCATCTCACATCCTCTCCTCGTCTCACTTTCCTCTCCTCCACTCACACCCCCTCTTCGTATATAACTTCATCTCCCCATCTCAGGCCCTCTCCCTGTCCATACGACCTCCCCAATCTCCTCCCGTGTATCACCACTGTTCTCTTGACCCCTTTTTCACCCAGTGCCCTAGATATCAGACTTTGGAGTCTGAATCAGAGTCCGTTCAGACTTTTTTTTTGTACCTAGTCTGAACTCAAAGAATTTATTTATGTACCTTGTCTGATTTTCCAGAGTTTTTTCTTATGAGTTGTCTGAAATTTCAGCCTAATTTTACTAGGGTAGGCTGAGCCTCAGACTTGTATCGGGGGTACACTCTGCGCGCTTATCGGAGCAAAGTTTCCTGGAAGTTTCCTTCCGATATGCCCACTTCCGAGATGGCAGTGGAGTGCCAGGACGTGAGCAACGCTCACTTCGACAGTTGGGACATCCAAATACACTCGTTCGTTGAGAATATCTTCCAGTTACGCTGAGGAAATGGTTGCGTGATTACGAGATTTCTGAGGACAAAATCTTGTCACATGTAAGTTATCGCTAATGTATTGTAAAGAATAGGCGACTTTGATGCTGATTCGCTGTAAAAACATCTGCAGCACGCACTGGTGTGAATTGCGAAGTTCCTGATCCATAGTGAAAGTTTCGTGTGGCACTGTCTGATCCTCACATGCCACGCCAAGCAACAGTTTTTGCCTGCTGCCAGCTCAGCTGCGTGGCACTTGGCCCACCTGATACAGATCGGGTGAACGATCGAATCCCTTGAAAAGCAAATCCAAAACTGACAAAATCGGCACACATGCGAGAAAATGGGTACAGAACGGTAATCACACACATGACAAAACGAAATGAGATCAGCAGAGCAGAAACAACCATGCGCTGCACGTGACAAAAACACCGGAACGCCGCCGACATGAGCAGAGGCGATGCACGAGCACGAGCACGTTGCCTGATGCGTTGGTATGGTAGGCTGTAATCAGCTTCAATGCTATTATAACGGCTTTTACGAAACTGCATGAACATCTTAAAATTTGAAGTAACTCTGACAGTTCAGACAAAAAAATTTGTGCTTGTCTGAATTTTCAGACTAAAATTTTGAGGCACCTCTGACAGACAGAGTTCCAGGAGGGGTGTACTCTGAGGCCTCAGACTACCTCAAAACGAATCTAGGGGCCTGTTTTCACCCCTCTTGAGCCCAACTGCTCTTGCCAACTCACCCCCTTGCCTCCTCAACCCTCTTGCTTCGCGGACTCACCCCATTTCACAGCCCAAACCCATGCCAACCCATGTCGTGGCACGTCACCCCATGTCACCCCATGCCACCCCATGTCACCCCATGTCACCCATGTCATGCAATGTCAACCCATGTCACCCACGTCATGCCATGTCAACCCATGTCACCCCATGCCACCCCATGTCACCCCATGTCACCCATGTCATGCCATGTGACCCTACGTCACCCCATTCCACCCCATCCCACCCTATCCCACCCCATCCCATCCCATGTCACCCACGCACCTCATTGTCGTCCCCCCCTGCCACCACGGGCTGCGCCCCATAGCTGCTGTCCAGGCTGTTGGGCGCACTGCTGCTGCCGTCCTGCCCGCCCTCACAGGGGGGGAGGGAGCAAGAGCGAGAGGTGAAGGGAGTGAGGAGAAGGGATTGAGTGGGACTGTGAGAGATGAAAAGGGAGAGAGTAGGAGAGGAGAAGGGAGAGAGTGGGGGAGAAGGGAGAGAGTGGGAAATGAGAAGGGAGTGAATGGGATAGGAGAAGGGAGAGAGTTGAAGAGGAGAAGGGAAGGAATGAGAGAGGAGATGGAAGAGTGGGAGAAAGCCAGTGAGAAGCAAAGGAGAAGGAATTGAATGTGAGAGGCTACCATAACACAATGGTGGAAGGGCAGTAAGGGAGAAGTAGTAGTGGTAACAGGGGTTCAACTTAATCACTTCACTTATGCCGACCTCCTTTTGTAAGAAAGAGGCGCACCTCAGAGAGGAAGTTGTGAGGCGAGAGGGCTTGAATCGATAGACTCAGGCGGATCAACACGCACTGCTATCTGACATTCAGCGCACCTCACAGAGGTAGTTGGGAAGCTGGGTGCACCTCAGCAGCTGGGCACACCTCAGCAGGTGGGCGCACCTCAGCAGCTGGGCGCACCTCAGCAGCTGGGCGCACCTCAAAGCAAGGTGCAATCTGAAAAGAGATACACCTCAGAGAGGTAGTTGAGGAGGTGGTCAGACTGGAAGAGCGTGGCGAAGGCCGACGGGTGGAAGATGGAGCTGCCCAGAAACTCATCGCTCACCGCCCGCTCCCGCCCCGCCGTGTGACTCAGGTCCGGCGTCGCCGAGGCTGCGGCGTGGTACGGGCCGAGGCTGTCGTAGGCAGGGAGGTAGGCGTGGACCTCGGAGCTGGGCACGGCTGTGCCCCCCCTGCCGTCCGCCAGGCCCAGGCGCAACATATGCAGGGGGGGAGTGAAGCAGGGATGGGGCGGGACCAATCAGAAGGGGCCTCTCAAATGGCCCCAACCGACCAGCCTTTGGCCCAAGAGCCGTGCACCCGCGACAGAGCAATTTCTTTGGAAAAGGGATGTGAGGTGGGACACGAGAGTGGCGGGTTGAATGGAGAAGAGGCATGACATTCCAGCGGGTGCACGGTGCTGCGAGTGCTGCGGAACGAGGCACGGGGAGAAAGCACACCTGAGGCCACAGAACTAATCACCTGAAAGCAGCAGGACGAGCACCTGAAGGAACAAGAAGAATGACCTGAAGCCAGAGCAGGGCGGAGAGGAGGCGCAGGGCGAAGGTGAGGGAGTGGCACGTGAGCTCCAGCAGCACTGCCAGCGCCACCAGTGGCTGCTGCCTCCACGGCGACGTTAGCTCCGTGCTCCTGTGCGGTGCCGTGCAGTGGAGTGGGGTTTGGGAGAGGGAAAGGAGGGAGAGGTGAGGGAGGGAGGGCAGGCCCAGCATAATCACGAGGCAGGCATGCAAAGGGCACACGAGGGAGAGAGCTCGGGGGCGGGTAGATTGAGAGGGGAAGGTGGCCATGCATGTGAGGAAGGTGGCCATGCATGTGAGGAAGGTGGCCATGCATGTGAGGAAGGTGGCCATGCATGTGAGGAAGGTGGCCATGCATGTGAGGAAGGTGGCCATGCATGTGAGGAAGGCGGCCATGCATGCGAGGAAGGTGGCCATGCATGTGAGGAAGGTGGTGATGCATGTGAGGAAGGTGGCCATGGATGTGAGGAAGGTGGCCATGCATGTGAGGAAGGTGACCATGCATGTGAGGAAGGTGGCCATGCATGTGAGGAAGGTGGTGATGCATGTGAGGGGGTGGAGAGAGAGGGCACCAGATGTGGGGGGCGAAGAGGGCGAGCCAGAGGGAGTCGAGCAGCAGCATGAGGGCGAGCAGCGTGGCATAGGTGCGCCCCAGCGCCTGGTAGCCACTCGCGATGGCCACCAGCCCGAACAGCGCCACGCCCACGTCCGCCACGATCACCGCCGTGTACGTGAGGCCCACCGTGCCTCATAGGCCGATGAACGCCTGCGCGCATGTGGAGGGGGAAGAGAGGGGATGAGGGGGGGGGAGTGAAGGGTTTGCGACGATTAACCCCGTGTACGTGAGCCCCTCTGTGCCCAGTAGGCCTATGAACGCCTGTAGGGGAGGGGGGTAGGCGAGGAGGGGGGAGAGTGAAGGTTTTGCCACACTCACTCCCGTGTAGGTGGGTCCTATCGTGGCTAACTGCCCTAAGAACGCCTGCAAGTGGGGCAAGGGTGTGGAGATGGGGAGGTGGGGGGGGGTTGGGTGTGGGGGAGCCTGAAGTTTGAAGGGCGAAGAGTGTGTGACCCTGCGGTATACGGGCGGCCCAGCACCTGGTAGCTGCTGGGCCAAACAGCGCCACTCCCAGGATCACCCCCGTGTACGTGGGGCCCACTGTGCTCTGTAGACCTATGAACGCCTGCTAGGGAGGAGGGGTGGGGAGTGAGGGGTTTGCCAGTATCAACCCCGTGTAGGTGGGTCCTACCGCGCCTATAAACGCCTGCGAGGGGAGGAGGGTGTGGAGATTGGGAGGTCGGGGGGGGGGGGAAGTGTCAAATGTTATAGCCTCTAGTGGGTCATGCTATATGGGGTACAAACAGTTAGGGTTAGGCATTTGTACCCCAACCCAATCAATCCAACCCATTCCGCTGTGTTTAGTTTCTGAGATGGTATCAGCAGTAGGTTCGTCGTTCCTAGGCCACACTTAGTCTCCGCCGTTCCTAGACTTCGGCCGTCAATAGCCTTGGCGTTAAACCCCCCCCGTCTGCCCTAAGCACGCTAGCCAGCAGGCCTGCCAGCGCCTTAGCCAGCAGGCCCGCCATCAGGCCCGCCAGCGCCCTAGCCAGCAGGCCCGCCAGCGCCCTTGCCATCAGGCCCGCCAGCGCCCTAGCCAGCGCGCCCCGCCAGCGCGCCCCGCCAACGCGAACGCAGCACGCCCCGCCAGCGCGCACGCCAGCGCGCCCGCCAGCGCGTCACGCCAGCGCGCACACCAGCACGCACGCCAGCGCGCCCCACCAGCGCGCACGCCAACGCTCCCGCCAGCGCGTCAGCCAGCGCTCCCGCCAGCGCGTCACGCCAGCGCGCTCGCAAGCGCGCATGCCAGTGCGCCACGCCGCTGCGCACGCCAGCGCACCACGCCGGCGCGCACGTCAGCGCGCCACGCCAGCACCGCGCCGCCCGCCCGCCAGCCAGCGCGCCGCGCCGCCCGCCAGCCAGCGCGCCGCGCCGCCCGCCTGTCCGCATGCCGCGCCGCCTGCCCACCTGCACGCCTGCGCGCTTGCCCACACGCCACTGACTGTCTTCCCCTCCCGTGGCTGGCAGCCGCGCTCTCTCAGTTTCGCCCCCTATGGCGACCTCCCGAGTACTTCGATTTGACCCTGAAGGGAGACCGATTGACTTTAGTACGTGGCTTACGCAGGCGCAGCGCCACCTTAAGAGCCAGCGGCAGGATGGCGTGCACCTGTTCGCACACGCGTTCGGCACTCAGACCGCCCCTCCGCAGCCTCAGCCGCTGCCCACTACCCCACCGCCTACTTCTGAGTAGGAGGCCGACTACCAGCGCCAGCTCCTCGCTCGCGACGAATGGGAGTCCCATGACGCCGCTGCCTGCCTCGCCCTGACCGACCTTCTCCCGCCGACAGAGGCAGTCCACTTCGCTCAGGTCGAGTCTGCTGCAGATCTGTATAAGGCTATTGTTACTCGCTACTCCACTCCCTCCTCTGCTTCGCTCAGTCGCCTCCTCGTACCCTTTATTTACCCTGACCCCGCCTCCTTTGAGACTGTCTCTGACCTCGCTACTCACCTTCGCTCCCTTGATGCTCGCTTTCGCGCTGCTTGCACTGAGGACCAGCTTGCCCTTGCCCCACCCCCTATGTGGCTCACTATTCACAGGCTAGTCACTCGCCTCCCTGACCGCCTAGCCACAGCCCGCGACGCGCTTCTTCTGCAGCGCCCCACTGAGCTTACCATCGATCTTCTTGAGACTGCTCTCTCGAAGATCGAGAGTAACCTCCTCACTGTTGCCTCTGCATCTTCCGCGCCTCCTCCTTGTCTTTTTGAGGGGTGTGCGGTACCACAGCTTCCCACCTTCTCTGCCTCACTTGCCACCCCCACGTCTTCTGCCTCTGAGGAGACGGCGGCTGTTTCTGTCTCTGGCGGGCAGAAACGTGGTAAGGTTGGTAAGAGGGGCGGGAAGGGCGGCGGGGGTACTGGAGGTGGTGCGGGTAGTGGCGGTGGCGTTGGAGCAGGTGGTGGGAGTGGTGGTGGGGGTGGCTCGGGACCTGACGGCCCTCCTTTTGATGGCGGAGTTTTCACTGGTGGTGAGGGGTCCCAGCAGTAGTAGCAGCCGACTCCTTAGCAGCTGCCACCGCCTGGACAGCAGCAGCGGCAGGGACAGCAGCAGCAGCGACAGGGCCATCAGCAGTGCCCGCCACACCAGCAGCCTCAGCAGTGGGGCCCTCCGCAGCAGTGGGGCCTTGAGCAGCAGTGGAGGTCTGCGGGTCCCCCGAGCGAGGCCTTGAGGTCTGTGGAGTGGCGCCCCCTCCAGTCGGGGACCTCGCTCGGCCGGCCGCGACGTTGGTCCGTGTGAGTATTGGATCCTTACGGGTCCTCGTCGGGACTCGTTTTGTGGCCGCCCCGACCACTCTGCTGCACGCTGCTTCAGTCGTCTCGACGACCTCTACCGCTTGCACCACAACCCCTCCGCTCCCCTGCCGCCACGTTGGGGGACACTTCTTGCTCGTGGTATTGCTGTTTTTTATATGACTATGGATGATGCTAGGTCATATGCCATGTATGCTGATGTTGACTATAGTGCTCCTGGATCTGTGTACTTGCCCGTACCTAGCTTAAGATCTTTGCCTGTTGCTAGAGTAGGTGCTAGTGTAGGATCTTGTTTAGCTACTAGTACAGGTACTCCCTCGGCGGACGCCTCTCTCTCCTTCACACTGGACTCCGGAGCGTCACACTGATTCTTCCACGACTGCACGACTCTCTCTCCGCTACCGGCGCCTGTCCCTGTAGCACTGGCCGATCCCTCTTCGAGACCGGTCATTGCGACTCACGCCACTACACTCCCGTGCCTAGCTGCTCCTTCTTGTTCCCTGACTGGCCTCCACGTTCCTACGTTCTCTAGGAACCTGGTTGGTGTGGGCACCCTGGCGAGACAGCACGTCGGGGTCTGGGTTGAGCCTTCTGGTGACACCGCGGCCTGTGTGGACGGTGACACGTACGCCCCCTTGGCCAATTTTCGCCAGGAGCTCCGGTCTGTACACCCTCCACACCGACCCCCGTCAGGTTCCCCCGTCCCACCAGGTAGCCGAGTTCAGTCAGGATGCTATGTCAGGTGTAGTTGTTGCGTCGTGCTCGTGCTGGTCGCTTGCCCACCCCTCCCTCCTCTGGCACCACCGCCTTGGTCACCCTTCCCTCCCTCGTCTTCGCGCTATGTCCAGTCAGCGTCTTGTCTTAGGCCTCCCCCGAGTCCTCCCACCACCCCCGCCGTCCCCAGCTCCTCCGTATGGTCCTTGTGTCCAGGGTCGGCTGCGCGCCACCCCTCACTCCTCCTCCCTTTGTCCGGCCACCGAGCCCTTCGAGACTCTCCACTTAGACGTTTGGGGCCCCGCTCCCCGCCTTGGCCCTGCGTGTGAGAGTTTCTTTCTGGTGGTCGTTGACGACTACTCTCGGTACACCACCGTGTTCCCTTTGGCGAAGAAGTCCGATGTGACCTCTACGCTGATCCGGTGGGTCCTTGCCACCGAGGGCACTCGCGGTCGTTGTGTCAGTTGTCTTCACTCCGACCGTGGGGGTGAGTTTCGCTCCGGCATTCTCGCCAGATTCTGTGCTGAGCAGGGCATCACCAAAACCTGAAATCTTCCAGACTCTCCATAGCAGAATGGGGTTGCTGAGCGCCGCTTAGGCCTGGTCATGGAGATCGCCCGCACCTCCATGATCCACGCCCGCGCGCCCAATTTTATGTGGCCCTACGCGGCTCGGTACGCCGCTCACCAGCTGAACCTCTGGCCTCGCGTCACTTGGCCAGGGGCTTCACCGACCAGTCTTTGGACAGGGTCCCCTGGTGTTGCGTCGAGGTTTAGTGCCTGGGGCTGCTTGGCTCTTGTCCGCGACACCTCTGCGGACAAGATCTCGCCTCGCGATGTCCCCTATGTCTTCCTTGGTTTTCCAGAGGGCTCCTCTGACTTCACCTTTTACCACCCTCCCTCCCACCGGTTTTTTGACTCTCGTGACGTCCGCTTCGACGAGTCCGTCCCCTACTACGTCTGGTACCCCTGTCGAGGTCTCCCGGTTCCCCCCCCTCCCCTCTTCCTGGCTCCAGCTCCTCCTCCTCCCGCCCCTACTCCTCCGGTACCCCCCCCTGTTCCCGCTCCGTCTGGTGTGTTCCATGCTACCCCCCCCCCCCCCCCCCCCCCCTTGGGACCCCCCCAGGTCTCTCCTCCTTCCCCACAGTCGTCCTCACTGCCTCCGCAGCAGACGTCAGCGCTTCCCTTACCGGCCACTGCGGCCTCTGAGGGTGTTGGTGCTCGAGGTGAGGGCTCGAACGGTGCTCGCTCTGGGGGTGCTGGCGTTGGAGCTGTTCGTGCACCTACAGGAGCAGCCAGTTCTGGGGGTGTTGGCGTTGGCGCTGAGCGTGCACATGCCGCAGCTGTCCGTTCCGAGGGTACTGGAGCTGGTGGTGGTGCTGGAGCTGGTGGTGTTTCTGGAGCTGGAGAGTCTGGGGCTGGTGCTGGTGCCACTGGAGGCACCACGACTGGGGGTGCGGGTACACCTCCTACAGGTACTGGTCGTGCTGCCGCGGGAGGTACTCGCTCTGGGGGTGCTCAGCCGAGTACTGTCGAGGTCGGAGCCGGTTCTTCTGCTGCGTCTCCTGACACCACTCCTCCTCACCCCTACCCGACTCGTTACCAGGCCCTTCTTCGTCTAGAGCGTGAGGAGCAGCAACGTTTGGAGCGTGAGAGGTCGGAGGTTCAGTAGCGGGTGGAGCGTGAGAGGTTGGAGTTGCAGCGAGAGCAGCAGCAGCAGCAGCCGGAGCAGCCTCCGGCCCCTGTTTCTGGCCTTCGGGCCCTTGGTCTCCCCTCCTCTCCTCCTGTGTTTGGTCCTACGTTTCCTCCTTCGGACTCAGCTCCGGCTGTGTTTCCTCGTTCTCAGTCTCCTCCGTCTCCCTCTCCTCTCGCCCACACTTGGACCTCTTGTCCCCCTCGTGCTCGTCCTTTGTCACCTGTCACTGACCTCCGTACCGTGTTGTTTTGTCCTAATCCTCCTCGTCCTCCTCCGTCTGTTCTTCCTCGTCTCTCACTGCCTCCCTGTCCACTCCGGTCACTGACTAATACCGCACGTACCGCCCTACTGTCTCTCGTGTTCTCGCCTCTCTTGTTACTGACCCTCGTGCCTCTCCTTCCTCCGTCACGGTCCTCACTGCCGCTGTCACTGACTTTACTGCCACGCGTCGCCTTGACTACGCCACTCGTGTTGTGGCTGCTCCTCCTGTCTGTCTTCTGTCCGCCGGGGGTGATTCTGCCTTTGGTTGTGACGTCCTAGAGGACCGACAGTTTGAGCTAGAGTTCCTGGCAGCTGCTTCGCCTCATCTCTGTGCCATGCTCCTCACTCCTGAGGGAGACCCCGACGCCTGAGGGAGACCCCGACGCTCCTGATATACCTACTCCTCGCACTTACGCTGAGGCAGTGTCAGGGCCTTGGGCCTCTCAGTGGAGAGCTGCCATGGACGCAGAGATGGCCTCCTACAGGTCCACAGGCACTTACGTTGACGAGGTTCCCCCCCCCAGGGGCGAACATAGTTGACGGCATGTGGATCTTCAAGGTGAAGCGGCCGCCGGGATCTCCCCTAGTCTTCAAGGCACGCTACGTGGCTAAAGGGTTCAGTCAGCGTGAGGGAGTTGACTTCTTTTAGACCTTCGCGCCCACCCCAAAGATGACCACTCTTCGGGTGTTACTGCCAGTAGCAGCGTAGAGAGACTACGAGCTACACTCTCTTGACTTCTCCACTGCCTTCCTCCAGGGCAGTCTACACGAGGAGATCTGGCTGCGTCGTCCTCCGGGCTTCACTGGCACCTTCCCGTCTGGGACCTAGTGGAGCCTCAGACGACCGGTCTACGGTCTCCGCCAGGCACCCCGTGAGTGGCACGACACTCTCCGCTCTACTCTGTCCGACCTCGGGTTTGAGCCGTCTTCCGCCGACCCGTCGCTGTTTGCTCATCGTGGGCGCACACCTT